TATGTCTTTCTATAGCGGTCTGGAATTTTCACTGTAGAGCTCCTTCATTCCCTTGGTTATGTTTATTCTTAGATATTTTATTTTCTTTGAGACTATAGTAACTGGAGGTGTGTCCATGGTATTTTTCTCTGTGTTTGCTGTGGATATAAAGAAAAGCTATTGAGGTTAACAGAGAAGCTATTGATTTGTGCAAGTTGATTCTGTATGCTGCCACATTGCTAAATTTATCACTGACAGATCAAGTTTATTAGTATTTTTCCTTTGGTGCATATGACTTGGTTTCAAATGTTTAAAACCTGTCTAATAACTTCTACGTGTTTTATCACTTTAGCTCCTTTGATTCATTTTCAGTTCATCTTGAATGATGTTCTAAAGGGGACAGTCGGAAGTCTGCATATGGATATTTGGTGTATACAGCAAGCACCCCTTGTCTTGGCACAGGTGATTTGTACCAATGGCCCATAAAGGTAAGAGTTTATTTCTGCACTCACAACTATGTTTTGTGACCCTAAGTGGCACTGTGTAGTGCAGAGCTGTACACAACTGTCAGCACACATCTTCTGAAGAACATCTGACAGAGAATGCATCTGTAAATTATTTTAAAACTATGACTTTGTTGCTCTTCAGTTGCTTGAAACAAAGGATGACTTTATTCTAAAAATGAGTGTGAACAAAGCATAACTTTAGACTTAACTGTATCCAACATGAAATTTGGAAACCACAAGGAAAGCAGCAGGAAAACTAAAGTTAGAATGTAGCCACTATGACAAAAGGGTATCAAAAGAATCATCAGCATCAAGTCAGTTCTTGACACTGCTTATTAAAAAAAGGAAAAGTGTCACAGTTAAAGAGCAAAAGGGAAGGGTAAATAAAAATCAAGTCATATTTTGCCCTATTGAAATTTATGATTTCTTTAATATGTGCCTAGTATATTAATGATTCAAAACACTACTAATAAAACAAGCTCAAACATCAAAAAAGAATATAAAATATCCTGCAGACTGGAAAAAACAAAGTTTCACTAGATACTTGAAACATGAAGCCCATGCACCCAGTCACTTGGTTTCCTACCACCTGTGAGGGGAGAGCATCAGGAGGAACACCACAAGCACAGTGCATAAATGAACAGCAAACTGGGAGTCGGGAGTCAGGAAGGGTGCAGCTGCTCACCAAGCTCAGTGCTCCTTCAAGCGTGACTAGTCACTAAGAGCGTGAAACAGCATCCAATGAGCAAGGGGGTGGGGCTTTGCCTTAATACAGGCCAAGATGAGACACAGAAATCTCCATTCACACTGGACATAGTGGCACATGACTGGAATTCCAGCACTCTGGAGGATGAAGCAGGAGGATTACATGAGTTCCAGGCCTGGGCTAAGGCACGAGGCATTATTTCAAACACATAAACAGAACCCAGAATTCTCCCTCCATTGATATAGGAAATTACTAAGGGCTACATTAAAATGAAGATGTGACACAAAAACATAACTACCATGTGACTTGGTTATACCATTCTTTTGTTGTTTTTTTTTTTTTTTTTTTTTTTTTTTTTTTTTTTTTTTGGTTTCTCTGTGGCTTTGGAGGCTGTCCTGGAACTTGCTCTGTATACCAGGCTGGCCTCCAACTCACAGAGATCCACCTGCCTCTGAGTCCTGAGTGCTAGTATCAAAGGTGTGCAACACCAATGTCCAGCTACCACCCTGAATGCACCTGATCTTGTCTGATCTTGGAAGCTAAGCAGGGTCGGGCCTGGTTAATAATTGGATAGGTTATACCATTCTTAAGTAGACCCAAAGAATACAACATCACCCCACCCCTGGAATACTTGTTTATTGCTGTGCTGTTTATTTTTTTCTGCATTATTTATAATAGCTAATTAGTAGAAACTCTTAAGATACCCATCAAGAGATGAATAGATGAACAAACTTTGGTATATATACACAAGGAAGTTTATGCAGCTATAAAAAATAAAATTATGACATTTATAAGAAAACAGACTGAAGAGAAAGATAATACATTAAGTAAAATAAGCCAGATTCAGAAAGGCAATACCACCAAGAAGTGGTGGCACACACCTTTAATCCTAACACTCAGAAGGCAGAGACAAGAAGATCTCTGTGAGTTCGAGGCTAGCTTGGTCTACAGAGTGAGTTCCAGGACACCCAGGTTACAAAGAGAAACCCTATTTCAAAAACAAAACAGAAAGACAAATACCACATTTTCTCTTATATGCAGATCCTAGATTTAAAATTTTATGAATATGCCTGTACTTATATATATGGATATATGTGTGTTTGCATTTAAAATGTACATGAAAGCCATGAAACCAAAAAGATGACCAATAGAAAGGAAGAACGGATCTTAAGGTTGTGAAAGTTGGCAACAGATTATAAACAAGAAAGCAAAAGGGTTGTCTACCTAGGCAAAGGAAGAATCACAATGCACAGGGGCACATGGAGGCCAGTGAGCAACAGAAATTATTAAAAAGTAGGTATAATGACACATATATGAAAATATCACAATAAAACCTCACTTGCTCGCCGGGCGTTGGTGGCACATGCCTTTAATCCCAGCACTCGGGAGGCAGAGGCAGGTGATCTCTGTGAGTTCAAGGTCAACCTGGTCTCCAGAGCAAGTGCCGGGATAGCAGGATAGGCTCCAAAAGCTACACAGAGAAACCCTATATCGAAAAAAACAAAAACAAAAACAAAAAACTCACTCTCTCTTTTTTAATGCTAACCTAAAAATTAACAAACAAAAAAGACCCAGCAAGATGGCTCATCAGGTAAGCCTGTTTGCTGCCCAGCCTGATTGCCTCAGCTCCTTCCCTAGAAATTGTTTGATGGAGAGAAAATTAAGTCCTACAGACTGCCCTGCTTTCTGCATGGGTACAATGCTTTGTCCACACTCACACATGAATCTTTTTTTTTTTTTTTTTTAATTAACAAAAAAAGCCATGTACATGGGAGGCAAGAACAAAACAATGTCAAGAAAGTAAAGTATTGAGTCACGGAGTCTAAGATAAGTGGACTATCACACAGTTCAGGAAGCTGTATCTACAACATAGGAAGATGTCCCCACATCCAACTTCGGGAGACATAGTAGGACTGGCCAGATACCTTAGCGGTTAAGAGTGCTTATCGTTCTTTCAGACAACCTGGGCTCAGTTCCCAGCAACTACTTGGAGTGGCTCACAACTGCCTGTAACTCCAGACCCAAAGGGATGTGATGCTCTCTTCTGGCCTCTGTAGGTACAGGCATAACACATCACATATATTCATATAGACACACAAACAAAAATAAAAAATAATTGAAGAAAACAGACAATCCAGATTAACAAATGGTCAAGAAGCTTGAAAACAACACTTCTATAGAAAATATATTCCACTGTGGTGGTGGCACACACCAGTCACCCAGCACTCTATGAGTAGGGCACATTTGGAAATATACATATATATCATACCTGTATACATACATGTATACACACACACACACACATTAATAGAGAGCCCAAGGCCAACCTGGGCTTTCTACCAGAGACCCTTGTATCAAAAACAAACACATACACCCCCAATAATAAAAAGTTTATAAAGAGTCAAATGGCCAAAAAAAAAGACACTCTTTATTAGTAATCAGAAAAACATGCATTACATCAACAATGAAGCCTTCATATATTACCACCAGAAACTGAAAATCAATAATAAGACCAACAATATAAACTAGTGATGGAAATGTAGACAATTAGCCAGGTGGTGGTGGTGCATGCCTTTAATCCCAGCAGGTGACCCTCTAATGAGTTCTGTGGCCAACCTGGTCTACAGAGTGTGTTCCAGGACAGCCAGAGCTACACAGAGAAACCCTGTCTCAACTGCCCCCTGCCCTTCCCCAAAACTAAAGAAAAAGAAAAAAGAAAGAAAATGCAGACAATTGGCAGCTACAAACAATACTAGTGGGAAAAAATGGCTACAATCTGGCCTCTAAGGGAAAGATGCTAGAAGTAAACATTAAAACAATTTGAGGAAAAAAAAAACAAAACAAAAACACTTTGCCCAGCCCACCTTTATAAACAAATCACCCAAGCGATTTTTAGTTTTAACTCTAATCCTTCAAAAGTTCACTAGAATCAATTTTTAGGGGTAGAAAGCAGTGGCAAAAAGGTACTCGTCCCAAAGCCAGATCATGTGATGATTCCCCCATGTTGTCCTCCAACCTCCACACATGTACCATGTCACTCACCCCATAAAATGTAATTTAAAACACTATAAACTCCTAACATCATTTTTTTTTTTTTGAGACAGGATCTCACTAGCCCCAAACTCACAGAGATCCACCTGCCTCTGCCTTCCAAGTATTAAAATTGAAGGCATGCTTTACCACCCCAGCAACTAACATCATTCATTCTTAATGTTAAGAAACTAGAAATTTTCAGCTGGGCGTTGGTGGTGCACGCCTTTAATCCCAGCACTCAGGAGGCAGAGGCAGGCAGAACTCTGTGAGTTCGAGACCAGCTTGGGCTACAAGAGCGAGGTCCAAGACAAGATCCAAAACCCCAAGGAAACACCACCCTTCAAAAACAAAAAAAAAAAAAAAAAAAAAAAGAAACTAGAAATTTTCTAAGATCAGAACAAGACAAGAATGTACCCCCATTCGACTCTTTTCTTTTTTTTTGGGGGGGGGTTCCAAGACAGGATCCCTGCCTGGCCTGGAACTCTCTATGCAGACCTGGTTTGCCTCCAACTCAACAGAGATTTGCCTGCATGTGCCTCCCAAATGCTGGGATTAAAGGTGTGTGCCATCACATCTGATTCTAATAGTTTACTTTAATCAAGTAAACAAAATTATAACTTTAAAAATCTATAGCAATAGGCCAGGTGAGGCCAGCCTGGTATACAGAGCAAGTTCCAGGACAGCTGGGGCTGTTACACAGAGAAATCCTGCCTTAAAAAAAAAACATACACACAAACAAACAAATAGTAGCAAACTATAAATTTAGGAAGACTTACCTAGCTGGAGGAATGTCTCTCTTAGACAGATCAAACCTCAGCTTCTCTCCTACATGTCTATAAATCTCGACTACAGCCGATATTGCAGCATTTCTCACCTGTCAAAGATTTCAAGACATTTTAATAAAACTTAGATGTGACACTTTCTTTCAAGGTAACAATAAACTAGAAGGCCAACCTGACACTCTAAGTTGGTTTTAATGTCTTTTCAGTCCCTGGGGAAATTATATGACGTATTATTAATGGAAACCCAAAACCACAGTTTGTCCAAAAAAAAGTCCTAAAAAACCCATTTAAAGAAGAGCAAAACCTTAGTGGTGGAGCACTTGCCCAGCATGTGTGAGACCTTTAGGTTCAATCCCCACTACCATCAGAAAAAAAAAACAAAAGGAAAAAGAAAAAAGAAGGGAGGTGGTTAGTAGAAATCTGTGAATAAAAGCTACCAAATTTCAAAAAGTATCATTTATTAACTTAAAATACAGTTAATTATTTTCCTGGAATAAAATTGTCTTTCAAAATATTTTTATATCAGTGTTTCTAAAATTATTCAAAAGAGCCAAAAGGAAGAAAAACTAAAACAAACAAAACAAAAATTCCTATTCCCATATGTCTATATACATAAAATGTGATGTCTCTATTACTGGAAAATTATTCAACCTTAGAAAGAAGAGGGAAATCCTGACACATTTTGCAACATGGATAACTTGTGGACATTACATAAAATGGGACTGATCAAAAAGGACAGCTATTGTCTGATTGCTTCCACTAGGTACCTGGAGTAGTCAAATTATGATGAAGAATGGTAGTTGCCAGCAGCTGGGGGAGAGGAATAGGAAGTTGTCTCATGGGTACAGAGTCTGAGTTCTGAGGAGGTAAAAGTTTTACAGGTAGATGGTGATATAGTTGCAAAACAATGTGAACGTATTTAATACCACTGAAGTGTACACTTAAAAAATAGTTGCAATGGTAAATTTTATATTCTATGTAAGAGGTGAAAAAAAGAAGGGGGCCTAAGAGAACAATTTGAAAAACAACCCTTATTCTTTTACACAACTGACTGTCAAAGAGCAACTGACAGCCAGGTGTGGTTGCACACACCTATAGTCCTAGCTTCCTGGGAAACAAAGGTGGGGAAAATCAATTGAGTTCAAGAGCTTGAGGTCAGGCTGGGCAAGAAAAGAAGAACAGCAATTGAAGAAAGTAAAACTCTACAACCTGTTGAGGGACAACTAGAACTTTTAAGTAGGAAACAAATCTTACTCAGTGTCATTCCAAATGCCCTAGCTAGTTCACAGATAATGATAGAATATTACAACTGACTTTCAGGGGAGGATGAGGCAGGCAATGCATAGCCTTGCCTCCTGACTACAACAGAGACAGCTCAGGTAAAGAGATACACCATGGACACAAAGACCTTCCCTACTAAACAGAGCTATCGACAGCTGCAATAGTTCCAGTACAAGCATATTCAAGAATGTAGGCTGGTGACACTCTGGACTAAGAAGGGAACCCAGAATTCTCTTAGTCTGTCAAACTCAAGAACTAACCATTAAGTTCTTTCTATCCTTAATATCAGCCCAAGAACTGACAACTTAATGTTTGTTCCAAAATAAGTAAGCAAACAAACTCTGGTAGAAGGGGAAGAAGAGGAAGGGAGAAGGGGCCTGTAGTCCTAGCTACTTGGGAGGGGGGTCAGGAAGATCTGGTGAGCCCAATGGATTCTGAGCAACACAGCCAGACCCTCAGTTAATCAAAACACAAAACAAAAAAAACAAAAAAAAAAGGCGATCTTTTTACTATCTACCTTCTCTGTCTTTGTTGTTACAGCTTAAATAATGCAAGAGCACAAGAAAGGGCAATACCTCCCCCCACCCACCTACACACACACACACACACACACACACACACACACACACACACAGTCAATGCTTGAAGGTAAAAAATTTTTACCTGACTATTAGAATCTCCAAATAAGATACACAAATGTGGCACCAACTTGCTGATGACCAGGGGTTGAGTTCCAAAGCTAAATATAATTTGAGAGAAAAAAAGAGAAAATTTGGTTTCATTTAAATACTGAACAAAATATCCTGATGCTTTCTTTTTGTTGGTTGGTTGGTTTTTTCTTTTCTGAAACAGGATTTCTGTGTAGCTGTCCTGGAACTCACTCTGTAGACCAGGTTGGCCTCAAATTCAGAGATCCACTTGCCTCTGCCTCCAGAGTGCTGGGATTAAAGATGTGCCCCACCAATGCCAGGCCTTTCTTTTTATTTCTATCATGACAACTTTGATGAAGAACATGGACATACATCACTAAAGAAAAACAAGTATCTAGCAAAGTGATGCTAAGAAACAAAAGTGCCGACCTGGATTAAATGTGAATGATGCAGTCCTAATCAGGGTCACTATTGCTGCTGCCAACCACAGTAAGTGTTACTGCTGCGGTCCTAGTCAGGGTAACTACTGGTATGATGAGACACGTCAACCAAAGCATGTTGGGGAGGAAAAGGTTTATTTGGTTTACACATCCATCACCAAAGGAAGTCAGGGCAGGAACTCAAGCAGGGCAGGAACCTGGAGCAGAGATGATGCAGAGGCCATGGAGGGTGCTGCTTACTGGCTTGCTCCCCATCGCTTGTTCAGTCTGCTTCTTATAGAACCCAGGACACCAGCCCAGGGACAGCCTGGGCTGAGACTTTACCTATTAATCACTAACTAAGAAAATGCCTCACAGCTGGATCTTATGGAGGCATTTCTCAATTGAGGCTCCCTTCTTTCAGATGACTGTAGCTTGTGTCAAGTTGACACATGACCCAACAGGGCAAAATACTCAATAGCAATTTGACAACCCTGGTAGCCTATCAATTACTTAAGAAAATCTGAGCATGTACTTTTGAAATAGTATTTGTTTTTAATGACACTGGATCTCAATACTCAGTGAAATGAAATAATTAACTTAAGAGATCATTATGGGGCTGGAGAGATGGCTCAGCGGCTAAGAGCACTGACTGCTCTTCCAGAGGACCTGGGTTCAATTCCCAGCAACCACATGGTAGTTCATAACTGTCTGCAATTCTAGTTCCAGGGGACCCAACACCAATGTACATAAAAATAAAAAACTTTATATAAAAAACAAAAGAGATCATTATGTTTACTAATATTCTGCAGTCTACGTTGAATGCAAATGACAGGAACTAAAACTCAGAAAGTGTGCTGACTGACGGCCACGGCCAGTACTTGCTAGCAGGAAGGCCCCAGAGCAGTGAAAGAGGAGGAAGTCACCCCACAGGAAGAGTCAGAAGAGACTGCGCGTCACTATCACACTGCACAGTCTGGAAACTCACTCCAGAATAAGAACAAAGCCTCCACTCACATTTCTCCCACCTATGTCATAGCGCTGTGACGACAATTCTATCAGGACTCTGACCGCTCCTACTAGGTGGATTGCACAAAGCCCTGACAGGGTCCTGAGAGCTACATAACTCAGGGAGTGCTCCAGCCTAGAAGTAACAGACACAAAGGATGTGGGGGAATGGCTTGAGCAAGTGACACACCATTGAGTTCAAAAGTTCTGAAGCAGATCCTAATAGAAAAAAAGAGCCCAACTTATTAGCATAATCAATTCTTTAACCACCAATTTTGATTGGCTAAAGAAAAAAGAGACAAATTTAAAAATTAACAGATACCTTACATATATACAAAAGTAGCATTAAAGATTATATTTTGTTTAGGAAACCAATTAAAACTATTTAAAATTTATTTTCATTCTTCCTTCACTTTGTGGAAAACTCTGAGCCTTGAGAAATGACTAAAGGAAACAAAGCTGTTTCGGTAACCACAGAACTTACATGTTCAAGGTTTCAATCAGACACAGGCACACACCCTCTCGAGATCGAAAGTTCTTGTGCTTGAAACCAGAGGCCAGATGCTCCCAGATGTACTATGGGGAAACAAGTAGACACATGTGATAAGAAGTTAGGTAAAGCATATGACAAATGTGCTTCCTAGCCCTACAATTAAGTCACCAGGTATCAGATGCGTTCCAAATTTGGAACATTTTTCAAATTTTGAAATTATGTACATGGTAAAAAATCTTGTTGCTAGGACACAAACCTAAACTAGAGGCTCATTTGTGTTTCATACTCACGTTACACATATAACATGAGCATTACTTATATACTAATTTTGGTGCAGCTAAATTTTGACTGTAGTCTGTCACATGGATCAGGTGTGGAATTTTCCACTCATTGTCTTAATGTTATGGCAACGAACAAAATCAGGGATGCTCAACTCATATTTACAAGGTTTTTGTTTGTCTGATTTTGTGTGCTCCTACCCATTTAATATCTGAACCATCATTTTGAGTTTTTATTTACATGCTTTTAACTTTAAATTTCAGTAACTGTAAGGAAAATCATGCCCCATACATAAGCATCTAAGCATTTCTAAGAACACAGGTTTCTTTATGCTAACAAGGCTGCAATTATAGGCACAGTGGTCTAGGAATCACTCCATATATACAAAACGCCACAGCAACTAAAACAGACTGTCACATGGAATGACTGCAAACATAATTAAAGCTTTTCTCTTTTTAATACTAGACACAAATACAGACAGGCCACTTTATGACTACCTATTTGTTGTGGAATATTAACTTAAGATGTGTTACATTCATTTATGCTGTGGAATATTTGTTTAATGTTGCAAAGATGTGTTGCATTCTTTTTTTTTTTTTTTTTTTTTTTGGTTTATCGAGACAGGGTTTCTCTGTGGCTTTGGAGGCTGTCCTGGAACTATCTCTTGTAGACCAGGCTGGTCTCAAACTCACAGAGATTGCCTGCCTCTGCCTCCCAAGTGCTGGGACTAAAGGCATGCGCCACCAACGCCCAGCTGCTGTGTTGCATTCTTATAGTTTTGGTTGTGAGCCTAGCCTTTAATGGCTGAGCCATCTCTCCAGCCCAATGTGTTGCATTCTTTTATGGTGCATTTGTTTAACTCTGTAAAGCTGTGTTAACTTTGCCTGTCTAAAACACCTGATTGGTCTAACAAAGAACTGAACGGCCAATAGCAAGGCAGGAGAAAGGAAAGGCAGGGCTGGCAGGCAGAGAGAATAAACAGAAGGAGAAATCTGGGGAAAAGAGGACAGAAGAGCAGAGACGGAGAAGAGGAGGAAGACTCCAGGGGCCAGCCACCCAGCTACACAACAAGCCACAGAGCAAGAAGTAGAGAAAAGTATACAAAAATAGAGAAAGATAAAAGCCCAGAGGCAAAAGGTAGACAGGATAATTTAAGAAAAGCTGGCTAGAAACAAGCCTAACTAAGGGTGAGCATTTATAAGTAAGAATAAAACTTCATGTGTGATTTATATGGGAGCTGGGTGGTGGGTCCCTAAAAAAGCAGAGTATAAGAGCCAAAGAGTGAAAACAACAACCAAGTCTGTCAGGAGAAAGAAAAAATAAGCATATACTAATAATGCAAAAACAATTGTTTAGGCATAGTGTAGCAAGGACTTCAACTATATCTTTCTAAACACACAATAAATTTTCTCCCGTGTGTGTGTGTGTGTGTGTGTGTGTGTGTGTGTGTGTGTGTGAGAGAGAGAGAGAGAGAGAGAGAGAGAGAGAGAGAGAGAGAGTTATGTGAGAGGTATGTGTTCATGTGACTGGAGATGTGAAGGCAGGGACCACTTGCAGGAGTCAGGTCTCTCCTTCACCATGGATCCTGGGGATCAAACTCTGAAATTAGGTCACCAGCCTTGTGAATTTTAAAAATCTTAACTAAGGCTGGACAAAACATTTGCCGCTGAGATCCACAAGGTTCTGTTGCTTCCACCACCATAGTGGGGGAGATCATATTTTGAATAACCTGACTCAGCAGCCCATCTCTGAAACTTTTTTATAAAAAAAAAAAAAGTTTACACCTACAGTACTCTCTGTAGTAAGAAAACAAAAAACAATTTAAAATGTAAATTAGTAAAGACTATCTACAAAACTTTTTAAAAAGGTATTGTTATGAAGTATAAAATCCCTCCTAGTCAGTTTCCCTTTATAGCTCAGTACTCTTGCCTTATTACACCTATGTAGCATTACAGTTTAAGCATCACATGATACCACTGTGACTATCATGTGAACTTGAAGCTACCCTTTCAACTGTGGTGTACAGGTCAGCTTATTCTTACTCTCCTTTACAGTATTTCTATGCTACAGTGTGGATGAGGATTCCCCCAAGGGTTTGTGTGTCAGAGGCTTGGTCCTCAGCATGGCAGTGCTAAGATGAAAAGACCTGGGGGCTAGAGGGATGGTTCAGTGCTGAAGAGCAATGGCTGCTCTTGCAGAGGACATGAGTTCAGTTCCCGGTACCCACACAAGGGCTCACAACTGCCTCTGAACTCCAATTCTAATTTTTGGAGGTACCTGCATACAGGTGATATTTATACATACAGACATACATATAAAATAATTTTCTAATGGAAGGATCTCTAAGAAACATAGTAAATTGACAAACAAAACAAAACAAAAACTTGGCTTTTAGTTTCTCTGAAGCATGCAAACATCTCTGCCATCAGGAGGCCACTTCCCATGAAATGACACACCTAGGTGGATCCCATATTACCTCCAACGCTATGCACTAAATACACTTTTTTTTGTTATAGGATCTAGCCTCCGACCAACACATTACTAGTGTATGAGCACATATACATGTGCACGTGTGTTCATTCACGCGGGTGGGTGTGAGTGCAGGTATGTAAGAATGTGTACAAATGGAAGGCAAAGGACAGCCTGTGTGCTGTTCCTCGGGTGCTGTCCACCTCGCAAGTCTCTCACTGGCCTAAAACATGCAAAGCAGGCTAAGCTAGACTCACAGGCCAACAAGCCCCAGGGATCTGTATGTCTCTGCCTCCCCATTACTCCCCAAATATATGCCACATGCCCAACTTAAACAAAACAAAAGGAAAGGGGGGGGAGTCTTCTGGAGATCAAACTAACATTCTCTTACAGACTGCCACATAACCAGTGCAATCAATACATTCTTTAAGGGCAAATTACTTCTACTATACTAATAAAACTCAAGCTGTCATAAAACATGCTTTCCACAATCAATAGCCACCTATGAAAAACCTATGAAAAATCAAACAATTTCTTTTTGTTTCTGAGTTACAGAAATTAACATGATATTCAGTAGTTTTCAAAATAATATTTTTCAGTATCTTATAATTTGCAGGTAAGAAAAACCAGAAAATGGTGAAGCATAAGTACAATCAGCACCTGTCAAATCACTTAAGTCTTTATGTTTTTTTTTTTAATGTAAGTAAGTGAAAAAGAGAAAAGTTAAATGAAAAAAAAGAAAAGAAAAGAAACCTTACATATTGGCACTGCACCTTAAATTTAAACTTCTTTAAAACATTAGCAATAATCCACTACCTAAAATTCCACCACTCATGCTTCCTGGAGGTTTATTAGTTTGCTGTAGTTACCATCTATCCAATTAGAAAACTCTTCATTCAAATGCAAGCCTACCATAGGTGGTGCCACCTCATCCATCAGCTTCAGTGCCAGGTTCTGAGCTTCATCTCGAACTTTTTCTTTGGCATCTCCCATCCTGTCTATTAAAGCCGTGGTAACTAATGGGGGAAGAATAAGTATTTACAAATTCATCACAAACCATATTTTACAAAACTACAAATGGCAACTGTTCCATAAATAATTATGAAATAAAATTATTCTAAGTTCATTAGTCATGAATTCAAATGAAAACAATGAACAAATTTTAATATAGTATGTACAATCATATCCACTTAGGAGGGTTCAAAACCAGACAAACAGTATTATTCTATTTGGAGGTCAAGATCCACAGACAAGCAAGCAAATGTTTTCCTCGAGGTTATGATGGGGAGACCTCTGGCAGGGTGAAAAGTATCCTCCGAAGTATAGACAGGTGTAGTTCAAAGACCTGGCAGATTTAAGTTTCTGAACCCAGGCATAGTCAAGGGTTGGTTTTATAATTGTTCTTTAAATTGCATGTTATGCAGTATTCTTGTTGGATATATTTCACAACTGACAAACACAAACAGGCCTAAGTCTAGGTTTTAAAGGAGAAGTAGAAGAAATGAAAAAAGAAAAAGGGACACACTTGTCTAGTTTACTTACAGAAATTTAATCAAGGGGGTGATGGGCTTCAGGTATGGAAGCACAAGCTTTAATCCCAGAAATGAGAGGGAGGCTCTCAGGCAGCAAGAGTGAGAGTTCCAGGCCAGCCTGGATTATATGCAGAGAATATGCCTTCACAATTAAAATCATAAACATGGGGCTGGACAGGTGGCTCAGTGGTCAAAAGCACTGTCTGCTCTACCAGAGGACCTGGGTTCAATCCCCAACACTCACATGACAGCTCAAACTATTAAGAACTCCAGCTTAGCCGGGCGGTGGTGGTACACGCCTGTGATCCCAGCACTCAGGAGACAGAGGCAGGCGGATCTCTGTGGGTTCGAGACCAGCCTGGTCTGCAAGAGGTAGTTCCAGGCCAGCTTCCAAAGCCACAGAGAAATCCTGTCTCAAAAAACAAAACAAAACGAAAAAAGAACTCCAGCTTTAAGAGATACAATGTTCTCTTTTGGCCTCCATGGGTATCAGGCATGTACAGACATTCATGCAGGCAAAAGATCCCTATAATAAATTTATTCAATCATAAGCCAATATCAATACTGTTCATGGCTAGGAATATGGCTCAGTAGTATAGTGCTTGCTGGACAGTGCAAGACAGTGGGTTCTACCCAGCACCATTTAAACAAAATAAGCACTGCCAAATACCACTCAGAGGGTACTGTGGAGTGACCAGTGAGCAGCCAATAGAGCTAGGGTTTTCTTTATTTAGACACACCAGTCAAGTGCAGGCCAAAGCGAGAGGGAGGGAGCTGGAACCAGTGCCGGTAGCTGGGGGAGCAGAAGAGACCGAGCACCGTCTGCCGACCCCTTGGGGAGCCCTTCTATGTCAGCCTAAGACTTCCCCTGACCCTGCCCCATGGGCGTGTTCTGGCACACCTGTCCGGGTACCTGGGGCGGGACTAGAGTCTCCCTACAGGGTACGATGGAAATCTTTATTCATTTTTGTTTAGATGTAATATTAACAGGAATAATTAAATATCTATAAGACTGGCTATTATAAGAATCTCTGTTTCTTGTAAATCACAGAACATAATAGTAAAAAATAAATTACCATTTAATCCTCACAACAATACAATCAGACTACAATACTCTTAGGTAGTAAAACCAGTGTTTACTAGTAATTGGGGTCCAAGCTTCAAGCTGAAGATCAGAGGAGCAAAGCAGCCAAGCCAGTAGATCTTACCTCTTCCTAGCTGAAATGGAATCCTGTCTCCATGAATCTCGGGCAAAAGCTCTCAGTTCCTGTCTCCTCCCCCTTTTATTCCTTTCTTTGTGCAGCCATATCACTCCTATCTCACCTCCCTAGTGTTGGGATTAAAGGTGTGTGATCCTAGGGGCTGAGAACACCTTTGTGTGAACTGTTTCTTTTAGGACTGGATCAGTTTTGTGTAGTCAGTGAGGTCTTGAACTAATAGAGATCTGTCTACCTCTTAATCCTGAGTCCTGGGATTAAAGGTGTGTGTCCCACTGCTCAGCTTCTATAGCTAACTGGTATGGCTGCTGGGATTAAAGGTGTGTATCACCACTGCCTGGCCTCTATAGCTTGTGGCTAGCTTTGCTTTCTGTACCCTCAGATAAGCTTTAATAAATCATAAATAAAATATCACTCTGCGTGCGTGTCGTGTGTGTGTGTGTGTGTGTGTGTGTGTGTGTGTGTGTGTGTGTGTGTGTGTTGGCATCCATGTAACAGGGGAGAGATAGAATTTAACTACAAAAGAAAATTTAAATGCTGGACCAAATAGGGGCTCATTTTAGTAAAATTTGGTAGCATATACTTGTAATCTCAGTACTAGGGATTAGGGAGGTAGAGGCAGGAAGATCCCAAATTCAGGGTAGCCCAGGCCACATAGGGAGTTCAAGGCTGGGATCTATATAGTAAGTCTCTGTCTCAAAATTAAGAAAATTTTAGCTGGGCATTGGTGGCGCATACCTTTAGTCCCAGCACTCAGGAGGCAGAGGCAGGTGGATCTCTGTGAGTTTGAGACCAGCCTGTTCTACAGAATGAGTTCCAGGACAGCTCCAAAAGAATACAAAGAAACCCTGTCTAGAAAAAAAAAAAATTAAGAAAATTTTAGAGCCAGTTTTGTTGGCTCCTGCCTATGATCCTCCACTTAGAAGGCTGAGGCACAAAGACAGCCATGAGAATCAAGGCCAGCCCAGGCAACAACATAGGAAGTTCCAGGCTACAGAGCAAAATCTTGCCTAATAACAAAGCAAAACAAAGGTAATTTTATAGAAAATAAACACTTTAAAATCTTTAATAACTGTAATACATGTGCATAGTATTATATTAAACAAAAAATCTTATTACTTTTGTACTGAAATTTTTAATTGTGTATATGTTTGCATGTATACGTGTGAGCACCTAGGCCATGACACACACAGGTGGGAGGGTCAGTGAACAATTTCATGAAGTCCTCACATCTTTCCTTGGGTTCTGGGGATCAAACTCAGGTCTGTTGACTGGTGTGGCAAGTACCTTTACCTGCTGAGTCACCTCACTAGCCCTTAAACTCTCTTTTTTACATTCTCTTGGAGACAACAACATTTTATTTAGTTGCACCTAGTTATTAATGATAGGAGACAGTAAATTTTCCTAAACCTCAAAGTTTCCTTGTTTTCCCCTCATGACTAGAGAGAAGATGAAATAAACAGAAAAAAAAATACAATAAGCATTTGAACTGTCAGCAATATACACTAAAGACCTATGGTGACACATTATTTATGATTTGTAATAGTTTGCCTGAGGATTCAGAAAGCAAAGTCAGGCACACCTTAGAAGCCAGGCACACACCTTTAATTCCAGCAGCCAAAAGCTAGGAGGTGGTGGTACACACACCTTTAATCCTAGGACTCAGGATTAAGAGGTAGACCGATCTCTCTGAGTTGGGTCGCTCAGGGATACACGAGATTGAACCACACGCCTTAATCCCAGCACTAGAAAGGTATAAAAGATAGAAGCAGGGTCTTCAGTATTCAGTAGGAGGCATTCATTCTCCAGCCACACTGAAGAAAGGAGCATTCATTCTCCAGCCACGCTGAGGAAAGGCAGCAGTCTAGCGCTTGGTGAGAACTCATGGAGACAGGATCAGCCCTTTCAGTCTGAAGTAGAGGTAAGAAGCTAGTAGCCAAGTGCTTTGCTTTTCTGACCTTCAGCTTGAAGCCTGAATCCCAATATCAGTCTCTGGGTACTTTTATTTTTCATGTTACAAAGACCCATTCATATGTGACCTATGAATCATCAATAAATACAATGAACACTATGTCGTTAGTAGGCACCCAGAAAGAGACTTCTACTCTGTAAGCTAGGAGAATTTTTTTTAAAAATGTGTCAATTTACCACAGACTGCAATGAGAGGTGAAATACTGAAAACTGAAGTATGGTTGTTAGTAGTTTTCATTCTATTGCGTTGTAAACGTAAAATTACTCTACAAGACATAAAACTCAGAACTGAGTGTGCTGAAAACTCTGATACTCTTACCACACCACTTGGGTTTAGACTGTCTGCTAAATTTTTATGCTACAAAAGTTTATTAGTGATTAGTATCAGTGTGGACAGATGACTTACGTAAGCATGGCCCTGAGTCCATACTCTCTTCAGAACCGAATCTAAGGCTCTAATGACTGAGCTATGTGCAAATCTCTTCTTGGAACTAGAGACAAAACAGAACAGGACTCTCCATTTTTCAAGAACACACTTTAACTTTAATGTACAAAGGACTGATGCACGCACAGATTCACAGAATGCTGCAGTATGCACAGGCCTGTCCAGGTTCAAGTGAGTCGGGACAGCGACCCTGAGAAGGATAGGAGCACCCCCCCCCATCAAGATGCTCTCTGCAACTGACACCAGCTAGCAAAAGGAAAAAACATTTCTTTTTGCAATGGATTCTCACTGGGTATATATATTATGCACACTTAAGGGCAGATCCCATGCCCAGCAGTACATGGGCAACACAAAATGAACTCAACAATATTTTTGTACTTTTTGCCTCATTTTGCTTTGTTTTTTTTTTTTTTTGGTTTTTTTTTTTTTTTTTTTTTTTTTTAATCTTATTGGTCTTCTGCTTCTCTATGATGTTTTCCTATTTTGTGTTTTGGTTTTTTGTTTTTTTTTTTTTATGGGTTTTGTATGTGTGTTTCTTGTAGTTTTTCTTTGAGTTTTTTCTGTTTTGTTGTTAGTTTACTTCCTAAAGAGGGAGAGAGAAATGTTGAGGAGTTGGGAAGGATCTGAGAGGAACTGGGAGGTTTAAAAACCATTAGACCATGATTCAATTTGGTCTTTTCCTTTTAAAAACAGACTTATATGTGCTTACTTATTTTCTGTTTGTCGGGGTATGTGTGCCATGGAGGTCAGAGGACAACCTGCAGGAGACAGTTCTCTCTACCATATGGGCTCTGGGGATGGAACTCCAGTTATCGGGCTGTTGACAAGCACTTTTACCCACTAAGTCATTGTACTGGCCCTATACAGAATTAGGTAGCCTGTTTAAGGCTGTGAAAGGATTTAAAAAGAAGGCAACTTTGAGGCTGTCCAGTTCTTGAAGAGCATGCAGACATACTGTCTACCCACCTCCAGTCAGAAATGTGATGATTTTTCTCTCACAGATATAATCAACACTTTTAAAGGATGCTTCCAATAAACGGGAGCAAATTAAGATCAAGTTTTCCAAACATACCACATGAGCTCGCAAGTTAATAACAAGTTCAAGTTTCACAAAGGGTCTTCAAAGTGAAAACAATGTTGACTAACAATAAGTCTGCCAAAAAAACCAAAATCAATAGATGATTAATAAAAGTAAAAACATAAATAAAAAGCAAAGTCCCACGAACCCAGACAAAAGGAAGCTGTAACACAACTTCAAACTTATCATCCAATTTCTCAAAGTTGAGAAGTATGGAACTTTATTTTTTAAATTCCCATTTATGCATTCAAATACAACCACAAGCATCTTTCCAAAGCGTGGTTTCTAACATCTACCATCAATTTTAAGCAGAAGACAGTAAAAAATTTCTCTTTAGAAGCTAACAATAGTAAGGGTGGGAACCACCAAGTCATGACTGAAAGGGAACACCAGGAAACCTACTTGAGAAAACAGCTAGAGAAGAAAAACACACAAACTGACATAATTCGGTAGCATACCAAAGATGAAAAAGTTGATCAAAGATATTTGAAAGTAAGTTTAATAATAATTGACACTGTGGGACATTAACTTAAACCACAAAAGAAAGCCACTAACATTCAAGGTTGTGTTTCTGTATGTTGCTATAAAATAGTACCAAACTCATTCATAAAGCATTCTAAGATGCACATGAAAATCACACGTGTTTAATCAAAGCCAACTATGTCATTGCATAATGCAGAGCAGCAGCTTAAGAGTAGCACAATGACCACGCAGCAAACATATCATAACTGCTGCTCAGAGTAAAGCCAGCAAACCATGATAAAAAACAACCACAACAAAACCACAGCATTTATGGAGTCAGTCTTCTGGGGCAGTCTAACCACAGTCACTGTATTCAAGCTAACAATAAAAACTTGTGGGTCCAGAGTGCAGCACAAGGTTAACGTTGTGTGCTTAGTGTGCAAGGCTCAGACTCAGCATCAAATACCACAAAAGCGGACTTCCTATTTATTTCACTTTGCTGTCACTATAAAAGGTAGAGTGAAAAAAATAGCAATGTAGCTGGTATGGTGGTGCATGCCTTTAATTCCAGCACTTGAGAGGCAAAGGCAGTAGGAGCTCTATGAGTGTGAGGCCAGCTTGGTTTCATAATGAGTTCCAGGCCAAGGCCAAATAGTGAGACCCTGTCTCAAAACAATAAAGACAACAGTAAAAATGAACCCCACAGGATGCAAATTATATTACAAATCTTGCCATCCAAAAAAAATTAGATATGGGGCTGGGGAGATGGCTCAGGCTTTGGAGACATGGCTCAGTGGTTAAAAACACTAACTGCTCTTCGAGACAACCTGGGTTTAAAAGTCCCAGCACCCACATGGCAGCTTACAATTGTCTGTTACTCCAAGATCTGACAACCTCACACAAACATACATGCAGACAAAACACCAATGCAAATAAAATAATTTAAAAAATCAGAACACTAAAAAAGATGAGCACATACATAAATACTTATTGACAGTATCCAGAGGTTGTATTGAGAAGCTTTCAACTCTTTTTGAGTAAATTAAAATGCTAAAGTACCATCTTCTGAGCTGTACAAAATTTTGTGTGTGTGTGTGTGTGTGTGTGTGTGTGTGTGTGTGTGTGTGTGTGTGCGTGCGTGCGTGCGCGCGCGTGTATTCTCTGTGTAGCCCTAGATGTCCTGGAACTTGCTCTGTATACCAGGCTGGCCTCAAACTCAGAGTTCCTATACCTGTCTCTATCTCCTGAGTGCTGAAATTAAAGGTGTGCACCACCACCGTCCAGCTCAGAATTATATTTTTTAAAACTGACTTTAATGTGTCTGTATGTTACTGTATAATGTGTGTGCATCAGATCTCCTGGAGCTAGCATTTTAAAAGTTTGTGAACCACCTGCTGTGAGTGCTGAGACTGGAACTCAGGCCTTATGAACAAGAGCTTTAACCACTGAATACCACTCCAGTCCCCAAGCTACATGCGCTCTAAATTTACAGAAACTCTGTTTAACAAAAAACTCAAAGAAAAAGTCACTATATCAAATTCTACAATGATTCTCAAAGTGAACTTACCCATTGCTACATAAGATTTAAATCGTGTTGACAATCTATCCACAAAGGCACTTAAAATCTCCAATCCTAATAATGATACCTGCAAGCAGAAAGAGATTTAATGAATACATATTACTGATGCATATTGTAAGATCAGCCTATAATTCTTAATATACACCATAATAGTAAGATTTTAAAATGAGGTTTAGCTGGGTATGGTAGCACAGGCCCTTAATTCCACCACTCAGGAGGCAGATACAGGAGGATCTGAGTTTAAGGCCAGCCTGGTCCACATAGTGAGTTCCAGACTAGCAATGGGAACAGAGTGAGACCCTTGCTCAAAATAGTAAAACTAATTTTTAAAATTTTATTGAGAATGACGTATTCAGAAGTAGGCAGACATGGCAACGAGGATTCTACTCTCAAACACATGAATAGTAACAATTTGTAAATGTATAGGAAAACAGTGGTAAAGCACACTTGGCAAAAATTTAGTAACTGATAAATTAGGTAATGGTTACAGAGAAGTTTCGTGACTATACTGACTTTTCACTTTGCAATGTTTTCTAAATAAAAAAGTAAGAAATTCAATAATACCTTTGATTACAAAGGAAGTTCAGTTTCTGTCTAGAATGTAGGAATTGGAAAATGAAATCGGTCATATTTGAATAAGGAAAAAAAAACATAGCTAGGTAGTGATGGTGCACGCCTTTAATCCCATCACTTGGGAGGCAGAGGCAGGCAGATCTCCGTGAGTTCGGGGTCAGGCTGGTCTACAGAGCTAGCTCCAGAATGGATAGGGCTGTTACAAAGAGAAGCCCTGTCTCTAAAAACCAAAAAGAAAACAACAAAACAAAACAAGTATTTTTCTACAAAATAATAACTGTTCTTGAATTCATGAGAAATCTGAGGTTGTAGAAGAGTGGTTCTCATCCTTCCTAATGCTGTGACCCTCTAAATTGGTCCCTCATGTTGTGGTGACCCCCAAATATAACATTATTTCATTGCTACTTCATAACTGTAATTTTGCTACTGTTATGAATCTTAATGTAAATATCCATGTTTTCTGATGTCTTCGGGGACCCCTGTGAAAGAGCCAGCCCCTCAAAGATTGAAAACCACTGTTGTAGAATAACCAGCCAGTCTGAAATCTTTAAGGAAAAAAATATATATATACAACCAAAAAGTCCAAAAGTGACAGGAAGAAAATGAAGCCATGGTACAAGGGGATAAGAAGAATTCCACTGTATTTAACACATTGTTAATATCTGAGTGTGGGCTAGTATGGAAACTTTTTAAAATATTTTTGAACATTTTCTTTCTTTTTTGTTTTTTGTTTTGTTTTTTGAGACAGGGTTTCTCTGTGGCTTTGGAGCCTCTCTTGGCACTCTCTCTGTAGACCAGGCTGACCTCAACCTCTTGGAGATACCTGCCTGAGTGCTGGGATTAAAGGCGTGCTCCGCCACTGCCCAGATCATTTTCATTATTATTTTTGTATATATGGGTGTTTTGCTTGTGTATGTCTGTGTAGCACATGCATGCAGTGCCTATGGAAGCCAGAAAAGGGTGTCAGATCCCCTCTGACTTGGAGTTATAGACAGTTGTGAGCCACCATAAGGGTGCTGGGAATTGACCCTGGGTCCTCTGGAAGAGCAGTCAGATGTTCTTAACTGCTGAGCCATGTCTCCAACCATTAGTAAGAAAACTCATCAATACCCAGAGGCATGGGAGAGTTCTACCTACTCACAGACTCCAGTTTGCATCCACAGACAAGATTGCTCTATAATTAAGATTCTCAAGGATAGGCAGGAGATTGGAGAAGGTACTACAGCAGTGGAGATCTTGGGGGAGAGTATGGCCTATGAGCAAAGGCATCAATGCTTTCAGTGCCCCTGTCTTCTAGAAAAGAAAAGCTTAACTTGAAGTACTGAGGGAAGAAGACCCAGTATTCAACACCTAGAACACAGGCAAATGATTCTCCAAAGACTGAACCTGAACCAGAAAAATTAAGAAACTGGCCCCACACTTCACAGTTAGGATACCAAGACTAAGAGCATAGGGAAGAGGGTTTAAGGAAACATGGAAGGACTCAAGCAGAGGGTTGATCCAAAATACTAAAGAAAACCCCCTATCAAACTAACCCAGAGGAACCAGAAGCAAATAGAAACCAATAGTAACCACAGCAACTACAACACACAGACCTAATTGAACTCCTGACTAAACTATTTAATGTAGCAAAAGGAAAAGGTGCCACTTCAAAGATAAAAAATATTTAATATAGTCTTAAATTTCTTGACTACACTGCAACTATTTCAATTAAGAAGTACGAGGCACAGGAAAGAACAAAAGATAAGGGTATTGGGACCCCTGTATCAAGAGCAAAGCCATCAATAAACAAAATTTAATGTACATGTCTGAAGCATAAGTTTAAACCAATGATTAATGTGTTTGCAGTACAAGGTACAGACCAGTGACAGAGCAGTTAACTAGACCCTGAAAAAGCCTTGGCTCAGTCCCTGGCAGAGTGTAAGAGGAGTAGTGACCAAAAAGGACCAAAGACCAACCCTCATTCTAAAACAACAATGATTAAAGGGGCTCCACATACAGGTTGGTTGATAGTGTTTGCCTAGCATGCATGAGGCTCTGAATTTAAATCTCTAGTACCATATAAACTGGTAGAAAACAGCAATCATGGAGGCTATACTCCCCAGGGAGTTTTTAAAAAATTTACAAAGCAAAAAAGCCCAGACAACATGCATGAATAAATAATTAATTTCAGCACACAGGTGGAAATCTTGGGAAACATAAGCCATCCTGGTTCACCTACCAAGCTGTAGGACAGCCAAGGCTACACCGTGAGACACTGAAAACAAAACAAAACATAAATGATAAAATATATTTAAAAATAGCAAAAAGGACCAGTAAACTGGCTCAGCAGGTAAAGCCCTTTGTAGTGCAAGCCTGACTACCTGAGTTCAACCTCTGGGACACATGCAAACACACACACAAACACACACACACACACACACACACACACACACACACACACACACACACAGAGAGAGAGAGAGAGAGACAGAAAGAGAGAGAGTCCTAGCTGGGTATCTACTTCTGTGATAAACACCATGACCAAAGCAACTTGGGAGGAAAGAGTTAACTTCATCTTACAGTTTACACTGTAAACCTTACAATCCCTCATGAAGGCAAGTCAAGGCAGAAACTCAAGGCAGGAACCTTTGGGCATAGTGGTGCATCCCAGCACTTGGGAGGCAGAGGAAGCTGAATCTCTAAGTTTGAGGCCAGCCTACTCTACATACTAAATTCCAGGACAGCCAGAGCTATATGGAGAGAACTTGCCTCAAAAAAAAAAAAAAAAAGAAAAAAAGAAAGAAAGAAAGAAAATAAAAATTAAAGAAAGGGAACCTGAAGGCAAAGGTGATGGAGGAGCACTGCTTACTGGCTTGTTCCTCATGGCTCACTCAGTTTGCTTTTCTATACAGCACAGGACCACCTGCACAGAAGTGGCACTGCCCATAGTGAGTTAGACCCTCCCACGTCAAACATTAATCAAGAAAATGCTTCACAGACTTGCCAATCTATAGGCCAATGTCCTGAAGGCATCTTCTCAACTGAGGATCCCTCTTCTCAGATGACTCCAGCTTGTGCCAAGTTGACAAAAACAAACAAAACACTAACACATATTATCATCACCATGGTAACAGGAACACACAACACACACACACACACACACACACACACACACACACACCCTTTTAAATAAATATTAAAACAAACAAAGGACAGGGTCCAGAGCTGTAGCTCTGTTGATAGAAGTCTTGACTAACACATACAAGTCCTTGCATATGATCTCCAGCGCTGCATAAAGCAGGTGCGATGGAACTCAGGAAGTAGATGCAGGATGATCAAAACAGAATTCAGGACCACATAAGAACAGATCAAACAATAACAATGAAACAGGAAGGAAGGAAGGAAGGAAGGAAGGAAGGAAGGAAGGAAGGATTGAAGATGATCCTTGCCTACAATAAGAGTTCAAAGCCAGTCTGGACTATACGAGATCATGTCTCAAAAATAAGTAAATAATCACTAAAAAATGATTGATCCTCTAAGTAAATACTGAAATTAATGAGTTCAACAAAATCCCAAGATTAAAGGTTGCTATAAAAGTCAATTGTGCTAGGAGTGGTGGTGCACACCTCTAGTCCCAGAAGAGAGGCAGAGGCAGGTTGATCTCTATTAGTCTACATAGCAAGTTCCAGGACAGCCAGGGCTACTTAGATAGACAGGTCTCAAAAACAAAATAAAACTAGATTAAATGAAAAAGAGACAGAGACAGACAGACAGACAGACAGACAGACAGACAGACAGACACACACACACACACACACACACACACACAGAGGAGAGTAAGAGAGAGAGAGCGTGCACGCATTTTAATGAAGCCAAGTGTGATAGTACACACATCGTATTTCCAGTATTTGTGAGGTGGAGGGAAGTAAGAGGTTACAAATTCAAGTCTAGCCTAAACAATAATGCCAGAACCTGTCTCTCTTTTAAAAAAAAAATATATATATATGGGGCTTAATAAAATGGGTGTCCCATGAGGTGGTCAACATTAATTTTTCAAGAGTATATGATGTGTATAGGGAAGGCAGGTGTGTGTGTGTGTGTGTGTGTGTGTGTGTGTGTGTGTGTGTGTGTCTGTGTGTGTGTGTACATCAGATAACAACCTCAGGTTTGGTCTTAACTTCTACCTTTTTGAAACAGGGTCTCTTCTTGTTTTGCCTATGTATACTCTGGGCTAGCTAGTCAGGTAGCCAGGGATTCACTTGTGTCGTCTTTCACCTTGCACAGGTGTACTAGGATTACAAATGTGTGCTTTCCACCATCCATCTTTACGTGGAGTACAGGGATTCAAACGGAGGTCTTCATAGTCCACGGTAAGCTTTTTACCCACTAAGCCACTTCCCTGGCCCAAGTAGTCAACTCTTCCAAGTTCAGGTATACTGAAGAAATGGAGTTTGCCAATAACTACACCACTTTCAAAGTCTTAGTCACCAACAGCCACTCATCTGTAATGTTCTGAATTGATGTGGTGGCATTCCA